ACAGCTGGATAAGTCAGCTGTTCAGGTGTACGTGGCAAAACTTTAATTTCGGAGTTCTGCTGAACTCTGCAGAACAGAGAGCTTCCTACAGGCAGCTTTGAGCATTAATAACTAAAATAGGTAACCAGACCTTCCTGGTCCCAGGAGGGCACATGGAAAAGCAGGACCTCTTTGACCTTTGGTAGAGCTCAAAGCTAGCTGTATCATATTTTGAGCAGAGTATTTTACAGTGTAAGCTTCCAAACCTGCAAAAGGTATCAGAGAAATCATCCCTCCACAGCCTGGTCCTCTCCTCCGGCAGCTGTAAAGTGTCCACTGTAGAAACTCTGCCGTGCCCGGGAACAGACAAACATCTGTCCAAACCCAGCAGCGACACTCACCAGCTGTGCAGTGAGGTACTGATGATACTTACACTTGTGGGAGAAAACTGAAAACTCACTACGAAGGAAATACGTACAAATGTACAAGTAGTAGGTGTTTTTAAACTAAGTATTCTGTATTTTGATAAAGCACTAAATTTCATCATACTTTGTGGAGCCGGAATAGTTTCTTCATAGCCCAAGGAAAGCCCATCTCCCACGCACAGTAACAACAACTGCTGCCATGCACGTGAACCACGAGGCAGCTTTACAGAACGGCTCTAAGAGATGAATTACACTGCACGTTACTCCGTATGTCAGAATACTACCTTCAGAATCCACTGTCCCCCTAAAAAACTATTGGTTTACTGGTCCTTGTAGTGGATGTTGTGGCCAAAATGGTGGCAATTCACAGGACAACAAGGAGGTGAATAAAAAAGAACAGAAACCAGAAAAGGAGCAAGAAGAGAATGGAGTTAGTGAAACAAAAGGGTAAAACATGACCACAAAACACAGCCGTGTTCACATGGACAAGGATTAACTGGTACCTTCCTGTGCACCACCCATACAGAAGTTGACCCTTCCACCAAGACCTCCACATCCTGACACGTGCTAGCACAGACTAATTATTCTTTTCAAGGTAATGCATTAAAGCTTCACAAGTATTAAGAGTGTGACATTTAAAAAAAAAATAAATAATCAGATTGTGTCTACACAGCAGAAGGAGCTACAAGAAAGGACTACTGAACAGGAAAAAAGGTGCCAATGAAAAGCTGAGCAGTGGGGAAATGTGGATTTCTGTTCTTCTCTAAAATCTTGCGTAGAATGACACAAGTTCACGTGTCTCTTTTTGGCCAAATCCCAATGGCTAGTCTTGAGTATTATTCAGTAGCCGTTCGCCTTACTTCTCTGAAGGGCGAACGTGATGAAGCGACTGACGGCCTGCTGCTTTACAGCACGCAGACCGCGGTCCGAGTGCCCCGGCGTCTGCAACACCTGCACAACGGACGGACACGGAAAGTGCAAGGCTGAAATATGACACACAGCCACACGGTGCCCATCAGAAAGGAAGGTATTTCAGTAGCCGAGTTTCATTTAACCTACTTAGTGAGTGAGAGAAGACAGTTAAACTTTGCAATTTCATATCAGGAGGTGAGATGGTAGATGAGGAAGATGATGAATAAAGTACCATTAAAATTAAAACCTAGGAACTCTAGAGCACGCCCGAGTACACGCCAACACAAGACGTCCCTTTATCTCCTTGTATAGCCAAAACGTAACGGTTCTCGTTGTGAACAAGCCCCTGCAAGGCCTGCCCGCTCAGTGTCTGCGGTGCCGTTCTCCAGCGTGTCCCTGCAGCGCGGACACGAGCAGCGCCGCACGCCCCATCTGCCTGGACTGGAACTGCTCCAGTCCCCGACATGACTCCTCGGCAGGTGCCGTCCCACCCAGACTGCACCACTGCCCCCATGCACGCCAGGTTATCCGTGTATGGCAAGCGGCTCGGGCGGCATGGTGGAGATTAACTTTGGGTGAAGATTAACCAGCGTGATGGGAGCACTGAGCAATCAGTATTTTTAGCACAGTACTGAGGAGTGATTTGCTTTGTGCAATGTTAGGAATTTTCTGAAATGCAACTTCTCAAGTGAAAATACCAACTTTTAAACTCAACGAGCAACAAGTATTTATGTCCACTGCTGTGGTGTCCATAGAAACACTGTGGGTGGGAGAACAGATCACCAAACCCTCAAATATTATTAATAAGCTTATTCACTTGGGCAAAGGACGCACTTCCTGCTCAGAACATCTAGGAGGCTCACAGAAACCAGTCCTTTCCAGTTACGTCCATTTGCTTAGGGGGTGCAGGGAGAGTGACTATGTGAATCTGATCATTAACATGAAGTGTTCTTTATTTGGCTTCTGGGCCCATTTGGGACATTTCGACTCCAACAGCTGGAAGCGGTTATAAATCAAAAGCCCCAAAGTTTGGATAAGATATGTTGATAGAAAAATCTGGTTTATAATCTGGACAAGAAGCCATCACATAGGAAACCAATAAACAATGTACCAACACAGAGCGGAGACTTCTCAGTGCTTTCCCAACTCAAGCATCTACTTGGCTACCAACACAATCACGTCAACAGGGGGCCCATGAGAAAAGCAGCGCTGTTGAAAACCGCGGTTCAACTCCGATGTGCTGCCAGTGACTTGGCCAGGGGCGGTCACAGAACCGTTTCAGCGTAAGCTGCCATCAGCACTGCACCTCGGCAACACGCTCACGTCACTAAGCCAGCTGGGGAGCAATCTAGTCACTTTTCTTCCCATCTTTATTAAAAAACTCCTCCACTTAATTTTTTTCCCCTCCATTTCCATTTAGCTTTCTCTTTGCTTAAAAAGTCGCATTTTCTTCCCAGATTTTGCCTCGTACCTCAGTCCTCAAAACTTACATAAATTATGAATTTGCAAAGTAATTGTTCTTCAAAACAGTTCTTACTCTGGAGGAACAGGGTCTATCAAGTATTATCTAATTACAGTAGAAGGTGGAAATTGCATTCAATTCAATTATTCTAAACCTCCTCTCAAATCTAGTGATAAAAATTTCAGCGGAGGCTGCTAGAAGTGGTCTCCCATACATCACTCTCAAAAACAGCCCAACTGTGGAAAATTAACGTTTCTTAATCCTTCTACAACTTCTCCCTTTGCCAAGGCATCAGGATGCACTTTTTAATTTGTTTGACAATTCGGAATTTCAATTGCATTTGCCAAAAATTTATCCTGTTTAACAAGCAGTTACTTGTCATTTGGAAACGTGGCCTGGTTGAGCAATTTGAGAAACTCGAATACCTACATAATCCATCCTCCCTCTCAGACATGGCTTATGAGAACACAAAGGGCTTCACAAAGGTTTACTGGACTTAAAGCCTGTTTAGGCTGCGTCTCCTCCTGTATTATGCTGCAGCTGTACCAGGTCCCCTTACTTCTCTTTGAATCTCCTTCCTTCTTTCAAGCAAGTGGCTAGAAAATGTGTAAAAATGCTGCGGATGCCATCAAGTTTGCCATTCCAAAGCCAAAAAGCTTCGGTTTCAGTTTCCCCTGGGGTGAGGCACACACAGCAGTCACAGTAATTTTAAAAGCAACAGAATTTGCGCTGTTCTCTCTGTGATTCCAGGGGGTAAACACAAAGGCAATTACATATTGGCAAAGCTCTTACCTCTTCTTCTTGGTGATAATGAGGACATCGTTAAAGAGGAAGAAGTACACCTGCTGCTTGGAAGTTCTTTTAGAAAAAAGTCCAGTGTCTTCCACATACGCTGTTAATTCGCCCCTTTTCACTAACCATCGTGAAGAGGAAACCAATGGAAATGGCTACAAAGCAAGAAAAGTAACATTTTAACCCTTCCAAAGTACAGATTTTTAAAAAACAGACAACAGTGTATTCTACATTTGGGAAATACTCTGGCCTGGTACTGGAACACAGACACCCACTGAACAAAACCCTCCCTATGCTGTAGACACACATGAGGGAACTTTCAAAACTGGTATCATTTTAAAGTGGCTCCTGATGAATAAACGTACAGCGTTTCTCTGCTGTGACCCTGTTGTATCTGCACTCCAAGATAATATTAGTGTATTGGATCTTGATTAAATTCCCTTCAGACATTTCTTCCCGTTAATCTAAATTCACATAGTCTGTTTTGATTTGTGTGACTTTTTTGCAGGTTTCTAGTTTTGTATTACCCATTAGTTTATTTAATGCATTTTCTACTGTATTCTCCAATTTGAAAATGCAGAGTTTTGTTTCAAATTCACATTTCCTAAATAGAATTTTATCCAAGTCTCTGTTAGTGAATCACAGTAAATCAATCTGGTCACAAATCACTGTAACTTCCAAGTTTGTTAACTCATTGTCTCTCATCTGAGATCAGTGGCTAACTTGGACTTAAATCCAGCTTCATTATTGTCTCCCAGCACTCCCAGTACTGGATCATTTTCCTCATGGATGGCCATTTTACTCAAGAAGCATCATTGAACCTCCCAGGTCAGAAAGGCCAGTTTGGCTCAGTACTCAAGACATGACACTTCCAGAGGAACTCCCAGGCTCCATCACTGAAATCCAACTTTCGGCTTCAAAAAAGCTGGCTTACTTCCCATCCAAACTCTGCTGGTTCAGTTACCCTCAAGTGACATGAAAATCAATTTTTTAAACAAATGGCTTTTACATTTCCTGAAATGCAGTAATGGTTCCATGTGACAGTACAGGAACGTGAAACACGGGCCCGTGCCCTCCCAGTGCCACCACTGTGCTTCTGGCAACTTTACAAAATGGAGGACGTTGGGCTGGGTGGTCCTTCAACACAGAACTCGCACCCAGGTTTGTTTCATGAACACAAAACCGTGTTGGTAGAAAAAAATTTTCTGGTGATGAAGTTTATGAGTAAAAACTCCTGAATCTGAATTAAAATATTGAATTCTACAGATTAGCCACGTACAAGCGACAACTTTTGAGCAGCTTCTCTTGCGCTCCCATGAAACGCTCTACAGTTACATCTAACAAAATAATAAACAAAAAATCCCAAAACACCATATGAGGTTGAGCAAGAACAGAAATAATTTACCTAATTTATAATGGTTATAAAACAGAATTATAGCACCCTGGTGATTGTTTTACAGATAAAAAGCACTTTAAAAAATTTCTGTTTGAGCATGAACTAAAAATTCCTCTGATCTGTACTCTGAGTTAAGCACCTTTTCCTAATTGACTATATTCCCAAGGCAGTTTGCTTTTACTTTCATATTCATTTTTCCTTAATTGCCAAGAGTACATCACGTATACCATCTCCTTTCTGTATAAAACAAGCTGTCAGAACTTCACATGCACTGAAACGTGGCCAAAGCAGCCTTTCATACAGCAGCTGGCAAGCTCTCAAACCACAGATAAGGTCTAAACCACCAAGTGGTTACACTTCAGACGCACGAAGGCAAAAACCTTGTATAAAAATGCAGAAAAACCCAATAAAGTTTCTGTTACTCCCATGAAACTAGTGAGAGCTGCTGGTCACAGCACGTACAGGGCAGCATTACGCAGGGCTTCTCGTACCTGCGACTTTGTTTATGCTGATCAAAACTAACACGTAGTCAGAACTGTTCACACACTCAATGATTTACAGTCAGAAATGTCACCATCCTACCTTGATTTTAAATTCCAGTTGGGAGTTAATTGTGTACATCATTTCCGTCCTTTCCATTTTCCGAGCGCCTTCGTTGCACAAACGCACCAGCTAGAAACAAGACAGTTACTGAACAGGTTTGACGTACTCAAGACTTACAACACAAATCTTATTCCTTTAGAAATGCACTTCTGAGGGAGCATAAAATCTACAAACCAACTGACATTTTCACATTGGGCCACACACACCATGTCTGGAAGACTGGACTGAACGTGGCCCTGTGACAGCCAGTTCTGCCTTGAGGCCGGACTGGATGACTCCCCAGATCCCCCTCAGTCATCCAGTGACACTGTGATCATTATTTATTCTTCAGGGAGTCCAGATGGTGCAAAGGTTCAGCCCCAAGTTCTGCCTGAGAAGGGTTATAGCCCTCTGATCCGAGTCAGTGATCAGCTCCAGAAGAAACCACCTTCCAGACGGACACATCGGCGTGACACGCTCCCACATCTGCCACGCACACCCAACTCCTTCCTGGGAGAAAGTCCCAACACAAACGTTACAGACCCATCTTGTTAAACCACGGCAAAGCGTGCCAGAAAGGTTCACTGCGGCTGACCTTTAATCGCTTTAGAGCACACCACAGTTTTACTGAAGCCCAAAAACAGACGGAAAGGCAGGAAAATGCATTCCCCTTGACCCTACAGCATCCCGTGCGGATTTCCCTGCCGTCAACGGGCCTTTTCTCCCTTTATAATCAAACACTTTACACACCACACACTGTTCCTACAGAAAAACCCAACTGTGCTGCAGCTGTACAGCGTTGCCAAGTTCAGGGTCTTTTCCTCAGTAATAAACAGACAGTAATTTAGGCACAAAAGTGATCCCTAGTGGCCTTTCTTAAATAAAATAATTTAGAGGTTTTTATCTTTCAGAACTCTTCCTGTTTGCATTATTTATGCATGGAAAACATCAATTTTTCGCTTAAAGTAGATGGGAATGTTCAAGGCCCAAGGTAATGTCTAGCCCCAACGTGCAGAGAAACTTTTTTTTTTTTAAATAAAAAATGCCCAGTCCTTCCCATTTCACAACAGCAATGATGCACTATAGCTTTTGAAATTCTGAGACCTTAGAGGCAAAAAATAGCCAGTCCGTAGATCCTTAGATTTTCTTTTCATACCACAATGTTCTGTTTTTTTAAAGAGTTGTCTATTTCCAGAATATAAATATATTAAAACAGATGGACTGGAATTTCCCACCAATTTTAAAAAAAATGGTAATCTGATTGTTCAGGTTCAAATGGAAGGAGCCAGAATTTACTGTGTGTGCTGTTGAAATTTGCAATCCAGGCATGGAAATGGACTTGTGCTCTTCTTCCACCATGGATTCCCGGCAAAAGAGCCCGACTACGGGAGAAGAGAACAACTTTGAACAACTGACAGAAGGTGACTGGGTAACTTGCAGAATGCTTAAGTTTGCTTAGAAGACCAGACGTTCTTGTCTCTGTCAGGATAGTGGTTTGGCGTTTTTTACATGTATGGTCCCCCATGGGGCTTTCTGTTGGAGTGACTGGCAGCAAATAAGATAAATTTGTCCAACTATACAGTGAAACAGTTGAACAAAACGAGTCGGGAACATGAAAACTCATTCTTAAGCACCAACACAAAAGCAGCCACTTCTCACAGTGGATTTTTGAAATTAAAAGCACATGGTGGAATTTAGGAAGGAAAACAGTCACAGCAGAAAAAACTCTGCATCCATTAGACTTCTAACAACATACCTTGCTCACTTCTTTCAGAGCTTGCTTGCAGTTCTCGTATTTTGGGGAATCCTTAGGAGTTTTCTGACAAATCGTCTGAAATAAAAGGTCAGTTACTTCAGAGGACTACAAGCACAGATTGTAACAAACACAGAATTTTACATAAATATTTAATGAAATCACAGAGGTGAAGTCACAGCTGTGGACCGCGATAAGGGAGAGGACAGCAGATCCCTCCCTCGGAGCGCTCCACGACACTACGCAGCTTTTTGCAGCAAAGTGATGTTCTGCACCTCTTGGCCAACCTCCACCCCTGGCAGCACGCGGGAGAGGCAGGCCACAGCCCTCCAGAAGATGGAACATTTCTCCCATCTTGTCTCTAACTTTTTGCAGCCCACAGTGACATCTCGCTGCGGCCGGACGTAACCAGGTTCCTCCTATTTCAAGTACCATGTTAAGCTTCTCCTGGAAGTTGAAACACCCGTTTACGTACAACCCTACTGGCAGGAGGAAAATGGTACCAGGTTACTCTGCCTGACCTCGTTGTGGAAGGTGTTTCCAAAGGACTAAGAGAAACGGCTCATAAGGCCACACTGTGATGTGCACCATGGAACATAGACAACAGTGTCATTTATCACAACAGAAAAGGACACGGAAGGGAAACCTGCTGGAGCATCCAAACAGAGGAAGCTCTGGAAAGTAATGGGAAGTAAAATCGATCTGTGAGTTACACGTGACAGTTGTATCTATTGACAGACTTTATCCTCATGAAGTCCTATCAGAAACAGGCATTTTGAACCAATGACAGACCATTTTAATCACTTTTTTGATTCAGAAACAAAAACATAATATTTTACATTAAATTAGTCTTTGGTTCAATTATGTTCCCTCCTCTCCAAATGCAGCTGGAGCCATACTTCTGGTACGGAAGCCTTAAAAACTGAATTCACTTCAAATACAACCAAAGTCTCAATATCAGGTTTACACAACCATCACCAAGAAAAAACGAACAAACAAAACTGAAACAGTGGAAAATAAAATGTTTGGTTTGCTTGTTCAGATTCTTTTAGCCAAAAAATAGGAATGAGGCGAAGAGGAGAAAACAAACAAAAAGGGGAAGACACATCTAGTGGCACACTGAAGTAATACTGGATTATTATTGTTCCCTTTTTTTAACCTAGAACCGTACTGCAGAGAAGAGAGTATTCGATGTCCGTGAGTGACTGTAACTATCCACATGCTCAAATTAATCAGTGCACAATTTGCAAATATATAGGAGAATAGAATTATTAGTCCTGTTTCTAGATCCTCCCTAGGCCAGAATCTGAGCCTGGATTTTAATCTGCACTACTGCCAGCTCATAAATTTCGTTCCGGCATCTTAACTGAAACACCAGGAATCCTGGCGTGAACTCCGCACTGCGCGCTTCCCGAACGGCCCCATAACCTGCAGGGGAACGGAACGTCTCGGTGCAGCACACGGGAGCACCAACACTGCTCCACTCCCAGCAGCTCCCGTGCCCCTGGCACAGAGGGCACCCTCGGGTCTCACCGAGACCCTCTTCCTGAAAGTAACCATTTGCTGCAAAAGGATCCTGATCTCATCTGTATGACAGGAAGTCTTGGTTTTTAAACTGAGGGGTTTATGTTTAATCTTAACACTATATATGATTTCTGTGCTAGGTTTCAGAATCATTTTGACCCTTTAATGTACAATTTTTCTATCAGAATGTCTAAATATTTAACATTTGAATGGGAGTCAGGAGGTGCCAGTCACAGCAAGCGAACGACAGCTACAGTACTTCATAAGCAACAGACCAGTACCTACAGCCCTGCACCTGGTGTAAGGAAGACATGAAGAGACTGGAATGAAGCAGGAATTGAGTATGAAAGAATGCCAACATTCAAAGAAGATGCATCAAGGAAAAACAGAAAAATAACTCTGTTCTCACATCCATCAGTAAGGGAAGACGAGTAACCCTCTGCATGGGAAGAATGAGGAAAGAGATCATCGGTAAATTCCGGCAGTCTCCATGGGACTCGATCTGTGACAACGCCTCCTTAAACGCTGGATTTGTGGCTCTGGGGGGGAAAAGGGGAGAGAATTAACAGTAGGTTTTACCAAAGAATTGTGACAGTTGCTAGATTTTAAATAAATCACTATTTTATTAATAGGAAAGCGTGGTTTGAAGGAGTCTAAGCCTTCAGCTGACATTTGGACACCTCAAGTCCTGCTACACGTGACCAGGAGTGCAAACAGCCGCTCGTGTAACGCACAGGGAATTCTGCCTGGGACGCTGACTGAACTGTACTTACTGGTGGAAAGGGGATGTAACACGTGCCCACGGATGGGACGGGACCACGCAGCCAGGCGTGCTTCCACTCCTGACTTCACTTCAAAGGAACTCGCGTGTTACGGAAAGCCGAGCGGGTAAGAACACGCTCACTTGGAAGCCATGGGTTCTGCACCAAACACCACAGCCTACTGCTCACTCCTACGACAAAGGGGGCATTTTGCAATCATATTTTTAAACAAATTCTTACAGTAATTTCTGCAGTGTTCGCTGCTGATAGACTTCATTGGTGCAGTACTTCACGTACGGATCAAACGTTGACGAAGCGTGCTTTTCAACGATGTCACTGATATCATCAATAAAGATGTTGTTCTGATGTCTTGCTTCAAGTTCTTTGAAGAACCTGTAGGGGGAAAAAAAAACCAAATTACTCATTTTTACAAAAAAATAGCAGACTTTCTTCTTGCAACGTTTTACACTTCACTTGACACAATCCGTGACTTTTATGAACTAATGACAACTTGAGCAGTTTATGACAGGGTGAGATCACCTCTCCTTTGCCAGAACTGCAGGGAAACCCTTACATGACACAAGTCCAAGGGTGGTGGTGCCACCTGGCACAAGCAACGCTGGCAAAAGCACTTCCCATTCTTCAGCTGCCAAAACCCAAACAGCATTACTGATCTGGTTAGACAAGAATTTCCAGAAACAGGGTTGAAGAAGAAACGAAACAACTTCAAGCACAACATTAACACGTTTCCTCTTGCAACAAAGGAGGTACAATACCAGAAACGGTCCGTGAACTACAGTTACGTGTGAACTGCTAAACTAAGAACAAAGAGATACAGAGCAGGCTGAGCTGGACAAGGTGCTCACGCACCACATACTTCCATCTACCGTTACTTGTTCCCCAAACATACTTGGTCTAAGAACTTGCCTATTGTTCATCCTCTGTTCCATACCTGACTCCCTTTGGCCTCTGAAAGCTTTCCACATCTCCCGCACTTCTCATTTTACCAGAAAACAGAAGCCTTTATTTCCACAACGCTCATCTTTCCCTGTTTGGGGCGTAAGAGCTCACACAGGTCGGCAGTACATCTGCTGCAGGTCATCAGACCCACCTGCACCAACAATGCAGTCACTGCGAATCCCTACAAATCCAGAACCTGCTCAAAATCTCTGCAGTACAAGTTTGTCTGCAGCCTTTTTAAGAGACGATACACCAGAACAATCCTCAACTCCACAGAGTAAACTGGCTAATAAAAAACCCCTCATATAACCCAGAAAAATTAAGGAAATACTTGGAATGCATGATCTCACAGCAAGGGAAAATATTTTGAAACACGTTTTACCTTGGCCCTTTATTACCTTTTCTCATTGCTAACAGTGGCTCTTCAAAGCTCTGTCACCTTGCTAAGTGCACCACCAACGTTCTCCATAGTTTGTTTTACAAACCTACACACGTGAGAACAGGATGAACAGAAGCTTGTCGCATGGGTGTTTACAACATGAGTTAACCAAAATTAGGACATTTTTTAGGCGTGCTTAGAAGAAGCTGCCTGAATTGAGCAGTTGCCAGATTCTCATTTGGTCAACCACACAGAAAAATCAAGTGGGGTTTTTTTGGTTTGGTTTTGGAATTTGCGTGTTTATTTTTTGTTTCAAGTTCTGACACACCAACTGCAGACCGGACTGATGTTCATCACTACGTCATTTAATGACAAACAGGACACTGCCTGCAAACAGACACAGCTGTTCACTACGGTGCAGTTTTCTCCTCCCCCTGCCCCTGCCGTGGTGCACTTTGGGCACCGTGCCACTCTGGGCAGGCAGAGCCCTCCAGCATCCCGCCGTCCCCCACCCACCTTGCTGCAATGCACAAACTACTCCGAGCTGTCACTGACTGGTATTTGGGCTTTTGGTACCAACAACAGCACCAACTGGCAGAGCACACTAAGCAGCAAGGAGGCCTCACACAAAACACGGACAAACACTCACGCCAACAGCTGCCCGAAGTTCCATGGGGGCCCAAGGAGGGCAGGGGGGGGGTCTCCCAAGCACATGGCCTCCAATTTCCCATCAACCACACAGATCTCAACCGCTGACCACCACGAACTGCAGACGACTGGAATTAATTTCTACTCTACTCAGACATGTTTATAGGTGGGAGAACTTCTCAGCACGCTGCCAATTCACTTTGCTCAAGAAATTAGGAAACACAACATTTCTCCGCGCTGTACGTACGTTACGGCACGCTGACGAGGTGTTTGACCTTGCTGGGCTGGAACCTCCACTTTCAGAATTTATCTGGTGCTTCACCAAAGAACCATCAGTCACTCATTGTAAGAAACAGTAAAAATCTTGGATAGTAGAAAATTAAAAAAAAAAAAAGAAAGAAAGAAAAAAAGAGGGGCAGAAAGCAGCAGCGTACCCGAGCCCCAGCCCCTACAACACGTACTGTAAGAAATATTACCTCTGGAAATCAGGCACCAGATCGGCTGGAGAAGGAAAAGAAAAACTATCTCCAAAAGTACTTAATGATAGAAGTAAAGGAAAAACTGGACACAAAGTCCTAGACCAAGGACTGGCAGAAGAGTTTTGAAAAGTACACTAATTACAAGAGGAAAAGTTCCAAGAGGACCTGACAGCAAGTCTCTCCTCATAAGAATCTGGGACACCGAGTCACATACCATCTGTGCTGCTTTTCCAGAGGAAGATAAATTGACAGTACAGAGCTTCAGCATTGTATTTTTTTTTTAAAAAGGACACAAACACTATTTATTTGTCAAAATAATTTTGGCAGCAGAAAAACACACAAAGGACACTGAGAGGACAGCATGCAGATGAAGTTTTGAATACAAAAATTACTAGAATTCTCTACAGAGAGATAAAACAAAGTAGGATTTTAATGGCCACTATTCAAGAATATAGTTTTTGTAAATTTAAAATAGAAATTGAATTACTTTTCATCTGACAAACACTGTTAATATCATCAAGCTTCAGCAACCACAATTAAAAAGCAATAAAAAGGCACACCTATGATCACGGAGCTGGGAACACAGAGCAACTCAAACTGCCTTCTCACAACCTCAGGTGCTCTGCCTTTCTTTTACGGAACCCTTTCCTGAGGATTATATACGTCACCTGCTCGCTATTCCCTGACATTTGCTGTCGGTCCAGTTCAAGTGAGAGAAGGAGGCAGAATCATGTTCTGCAGGGAAAAAAGAACCGAAGACAGTACGACAAGGGAGAGACTGCGAAGGCCGTAAGAGAAAACCAGAGTAACACAGAAAACAGCCGTGTCCTGGGTCTCTGCAGGTGAGCTCAGGCCTCCTGCAGAGGTTTACATCAGCCCTAGCACAGGGCAGGAAGGTGGAGCAGCACTGTTCAACCCCTTCCTCCCCTGGCATGCAACTGCTTGACAATATTGCAACCGTGTTCCTTCAGGGAAGTTCGGGGGAAACAGGAGTGCGTTCAAAGACACCCTGGTTTACTCTGCAAAACTCTTGAGTAAAACCCATCAAAACAAATGTGTTGCCTCTAACCTTCAGTCACTATTGCGGTGTGCAACCAGAGGACCTTCGTCTGTTACTCTTGATCTCGGCAAGTGGTCATTTAGGTTTTGATTATGTGGTAGAAAGAACTGATAAATACAGTGTACATCTACACTGCCAAATAAAAAAAAAAAAAACACTAAAACCCAAACAAGATACTTCATGTACTACTTCATCACGTAATCTTTCAGAAACAATCCCCTGAAGGGTCTACTCTGAGCAAAACCTACGATGGCAGCTCCAGGGATCTGGAAAACATTGGCAAATCAGTTGCCTTGATTTTCATTTATTTTTTTTTTTTAAACAAAGTCCAGCTTAGTGTCTGTTTTAATCACCAAAATGATTCAACACAAACATTAACATGATCCAAAGGTCTCCTTCAAAGATCACACCAGCTAATACTACTTTAAAAGGATTAAACCGTACCTGTGCAAAGCCTGACAAGCATTTCAAGATCTGTTGGGTAAAGCACCAGGATGTTAGAGAGGAACAAAAACACAGTTACATGGTCAGTATTTAAATGATGCAGCAAATGACCTCTGGGATACAGAAGATTATCTGAACAAATACACATTTTATGCAACTAATATCTAAATTTCATATATCCAGCAGTGGGAAAAAAAAGAATTGTAACGACAGTGTAAGTTTTACGCTGGCGTTTTCTTGAAGATCCTGTACAATCCATCAGAGCAACAAAGCACCGTAAGCTTACTCTGGCTTCTAGTCCCATCTGACTTCAGGCTGAGGCTAAACTCGTTGGTGACAGACAGACAACTGCAAATGCTTCCATCAACACTTTGTGCCACGCGCAACATTGCTGGAGGTTCTCAGATGAACCAAAGGGATCTTCTACACCACCTTCGAGCAGGTGCGGAGGCAAAGATAAGGACACCTGAGCAGAGACTGACACCTAGCACGAGAGCCAGGTTTAATTCCACAGAGGATCGCTCAAGTCCGAGACAAGCAAATTACGAACAGATTTGGCCTTCTTCACACCTAGCTGGCATTCCTTCGGAGGGGCGTCTCAATCGGAGAACCCAACGGACAGCTTGAATGGGACTTCACGCAGGACAGAAGGGAATGTGCAGAAAAACACTTTACCACCCGAAATCAATGTCCTGTTAAAACACCAACTGTTCTCAGAAACTGCTTTAAGAGTTAAACCCATGCCACTGGCAACCCCACACGGCTCACTACCAGCAGTAAATATCTCAGGCTGAGCAACTTTTCCATAAAAAGCTCTTCCCTGCTTTTGTCACCGCTGTGACTGCGGGTGACATGCTGGAGCAGTGGGAGAGCAGAGCTCTGGGATCACGGTCCGGGATACCCAGGAGGGCAGCGGGGCAGGACGGGCTGACAGGCAGTGCCGCACACAGGGCACCGTCACCGCGGCTCTGCCCAAGCGTCTGCCCGGTGTGTCCTTCTCCCACACCAACCAACAGCTGGCCACCGCTCAGTCTGGTCACACAGCAGGAAAACACACCAGGAAGGGCATGGGTGGAAATCTGTCAGTTTGGGGCATTCTTTTAAACACGTTTAAGTGAGTAATTTGAAGCTAAAGGCTTACTGTATTTTCTGGAAAGCTACTTATTTTCTTCAAGGGCACTTTTTGTATAGGGAATTGCTAGGTATTTACTAAACTAAGTATTAGACAATGCATATCTATGTATAAGAATTTCTAAATTCATTTTTAAAAAGAAAAAAAAGCATTCTTTCTCTTAAGTTCCGTTCACCCAAGAAAGCTGAGAGAAGTATCATTCTGTTCAGATTTGTTGCTCCTGAGTACTGAAGTCATATATCTAATCTTGTCTCCAATAAGGCAGCTGAATTACAAACCCAACAATCTCTG